CGGTAATGTTATTCCAAAGCCATAGTATTGCATGTGAATTGAGGTGATGGAGAATAACCGTAATAATAAAAATCGGTATTTGAATGGGAATCGTTGAAAGATTTTTCGGAATGTGTATTTGCTACGTGCTTGTATTTGCTGTGATATTCATGGGAAATGCAGAATTATTACTAAAATATGTTATGTCAGACTATTACATGACTTTTAGTTCCATATTTGTAGTAAACTTGCAACATCAAATGTGTTATATAACAAATATAAACTAATGCCATGTAATGCTAGCAAAAATAATACATATTTCAGACTTTTCTTATCTTTTTCAAGCAAAAAAATATTTATTTTTGTATTTTTTAAAAATTGTATTTATTTAAAATGATGTTCAAGAAAATTACATTATAATTATACTATTTTTTAAATATTTGAAGATGTTTAAAAATGAATGAAAAATAATCAAGATAAGACTATTATTATTATTTATTTCTATAATGTATAATTTCTGTTATACATTCTTTTTCTGAATATTTACTTGATTTTCACACTCCCATTAATCTTATGTGCAAAAGTACAAGAACGCTCCACCGTATATCGATTTTTCTCATTGTCAGTTTGTGATGTTTATTTTTATCATTTGCTTTAATGATATGCATTTATTATTTATTAATATATTATAAAGAAATGATAATGATGAAAGAATAAACTTAGTTAAAACTGGTAAGATAATACAATACAATAAAATTCTTTCGTCACATAAAGTTTTGAAGTAAAACTTCTTAGGCGCGAATGGGTGTGTAAAAGTTTCTTTAGGCTACACGGGTGTAAATCCGTACAAATGCAACGAAAACGCCAACGTGAAGTTGAACACTACGACGCCGTAAGCGCTGATGTCGCGAGTATCCACTCCGTCATGTCATGCGTAAGTCGAGCGCTAAACCCTATATGAACTTGCATTAATTGAATCACGTTTTTTTACAAAAGAAGAGGTTGCTGTATTATGTCCTCATGGAATAAGGCTTTCTTAGAGAATAAATGTGTCATGGAATATAATAAATTTATATGAATCTCGTTGAAGACAAAATAATATCTACTGCCACGGATATTTGTGTAGGTTGCCATGCGACATATCAACAATCATACATTCGTCAACAGTTTCACAAAAATCGGTTATTGATACCGGGGGTTTGCCGTATGAAATAATTTTAGTTCTGAATAAATTTTACATAATAACAACTAATATTGATGTAAGTGATGGCTTAGCTAATGGTTGTGTAGGAAAATTAGTGTACATAGAACGTGGCGATAATGATGAACTTCTACGTTTATGGGTTGAATTCCTGGTAAGATAGGTAACAAAATAAGAAGAAAGCTGCACATCATATTCAAAACTCTAATATCAGTAGGACAGCTGTGCCGATTTTAGGAAATCTTCATCTATTCCAATGAATAGAAATAAAAATCATATTTGTCAAAAGAAATCATTTTCCTTAGTGTCTGCTTGTGCACTCACAATACACAAATCACAAGGGTGGTACTTTTGATAAAAATTGTATATGAATACAATTAAAACACATAATCAGCAGCTTCTATATGTTGCATTATCACGAGTTACCAGCATTAATGGATTTGTTCATCATTTCTAAAAACAACGACAAAAAATTTTATTATGAAAGAAAACGGCCAGCAGATTAATGGACTTATAAAAACTGAATTCCAAAGACTTTCAACTTGTAGATTAATAACACAAGAAGAAAAATTGAGTGAGATAATAAGTTTGAACGGCATTTCATTGCTTTCCTTTAACTGCCAAAGTTTACGAGCTCATTTGCCTGATCTGCAAGGATAAAGTGCTACAACGTTGTACGTTTTTGTTATTTTCGGAAACTTGGATTAATAATGAACGAATTAATATTCAGAACTATTACTGCGTTACTCAATACAAACGATCAAAATCAAGAGCAGATGGTGTTGTAGGTCTAATGTCTATCATTCATGTTCAGATACTCTTCATAATGCGACTCCTTTGCAGTTTCTTGCGCAAACGATATTACTGGATATTCCTAATGAAATTACACAAGTAGGTAATATTGCAGTTGACCGCTGTGTGAACACACAGAATCAAACATTGATTATAGTCGTCCTTTAAATTTTCCCAATAAAAACATATTAATATTATTTGAATTGAACATCAGCAGTTACTTCATTTTTCTAATGAGGGTGCAAAACTTTTAAACACTAATCACACAACGAGATACCATTAATTCTTGCTGGAGATTTTAATGTCAATTTTCGTTCAGAAGAATCTCAACCATTAATTGATTTTTTAAATAATAAATTTAATTTAACGATGAATAATTCTCCATTTGATTCAACCACAAGATATGGCTCGACTATTGATGCTGTTTTCTCCAGAAATGTACATAGTTTACAAAGCAAAATTTATGTCTCTCATTTTAGTTATCACAAACCTATCAATCATATATGAAATATGATAGCAATAATCTATCGTGTTGTTTTATTTTTAACTGTTTTTTGATGTTATGTGATTATAATAAATGATTTTTAAATTTCAAATATGATGTTTTTTTATTTTTATTAATTGCCTACTCATACAATATTAAAGTTTTACTTCAATCGCGTGTGATCCTTACGCGCACTCTTTTTATGCTATTGTTTTAGTCCAATAACTTACAATGCGTTTAATGTTACCGCGATATGAAATATTTTAAAAAATAATTATTGTGTTTAATTTATTGAATTTATTATTATGTGTGTTAAAATATTTATATGATTTGCATTTTTTAAGTAAATAGTGTAGTTTTGTGTATATTTTGATTTAGAAATTTAAATAGATTTGTTTAAGTATTTAGGTATTTGAGAAACATTATTTATTTACAAAATATATTATTTTAATGGATATAAAAAAGGCAATAAACATTTTAATAACACGATTAAAATACTTATGTCTTATATGCGCTATATGTGTCCTCATATCATTCCAAAGCCTCAGTATAAAGACCATAATGATCCTTATCGTTAATTAAGAAAAAGCGTGAAGAACCTGATCTCAAATCTTTTACAAATGAAACAATATAATCAATAAATGATCATGTTGTTTTAGGACAGAACTTTAATTATTAGAAATTGGTTCTTAAAGAGTATTGGATATACATATTCTGGGAATTTCTGTTTGATGTTGAAATGTATTCTTGAAAATGTATCAGCTAATAATATAGAAAAAAAAAAACAAAATTCTACCAGAATGTCATGTGAAACCAAAAGATAAATTACATTCAAGTATTATCATATCACACTCACATGTTCAAAACATATTTTACATCATCTAAGATTCTACAACTAAATAACATGCAATTTTGCGCTAATTTTGCGTTTATATAACAACATCCATATATTTGCATACTTATGATTAATTAATATATAGCATGCAGATTTTGTACGCAAGTGTTCAATCATAATCAAAGTGCAATATTAGTATGCAAATTGCGTTCGGATTGTTTTTCTTAATATTATGCACTTGATCATTTATGCAGTCAGCCACATCTGGTGTTGAGTTGATAGACAAATAAGTTGATATTCGCTATAGATAATCCTAATTGAAACGTAAATCAAAACCAATCACCAATTCAAACATTGCGCGAATGGCGAAACGTACCACATGTCCTTATTGAAGTCAATTATTTGTTGATGAAGTTAAGCCTGTTTTCATCAATAACAGAGGACAGAGGAACAGTTGATTTAAATTAAATTGCACTGTACCTTGTTCGCAATATGCATATAATGAAGCTTACAATTCACCAAAAGAAATTGACTTGGAACCATCTGTATTTACTCATTTTTTACCAATTAAATTGCCATGCTGCTTACTTAGTCAGGTCAATATTTAGGGTGGATCGTTAAATTTTTGAAGCTGTGTTTTATTGGGTTTTCAGTTTTCTTTTTTTTAATTGATGGATACTTTTGAATGTTGAAATAAATATTAACCGAATTTGCCATCACTGATAAAGAAAATTCTAGAGAACAAAATCTACTAACTTCGGAGATATAACTCAAGGTGATGTTTTTCATTGATATTGTTTTTGTATTTAATTTTTTTTCTTTAAAAGTAGTATTTTTGTGCCAATCTGCAATATTTAGTATACAACTAGTTATCTGTAAAGTATTCCAGTTTATAAATTAGTCTTATTACATAGGATGCAATTAATTGAATATAGTTTGTTAGATTTAAATTACTATGCTACGTGCAAACTAACCACATAATTTTTAATATTAAATTGATCTAATAAAGTTAGGATAAATTAAATATAACCTAATATGGAAAATTCATCTCCGTTAAGACAAATAAACCTTTTCTATTTTGGGAGTCCAATTTGCGATTCCTTCCGTCTACCACAGAAGTTCAGGCTGTGCATACGTACATATAAAATGAGCTTTGAATTTAAATTAACAAAGTTGTGTATAATAAAACTTGTTTTGCGAGATATCTATTGCAAATGATAGAATTAATGATAGAATTGTATTATATGCATTATAAAATTAATATTATTATTTTTTATTTTACCAAAGATAGCAGATCATAATTTTCGCATAATGATATACAAATTCTATATTAATTATTTTATAAGACATTCGGAATGGAAATGAAATCAAATTGAGATAAATAATTTTTTCATTAATTTAATTGCAATTTGAGTTTTTTTAATGTAAAATGCTCTGTTGGTTAGATAATTATCATAATATGAAGTTTAGAATAGTTTTTTTTTTTTCATTCTCAGTATTCTAAAATAAATATTTATTAACGCATGTTACTTTTATAAGAGTAATAATTTGGTTTTCGAACCTTGTTCGACTCTAAAATTTTATTTATATTTGCATTGATTACTTACTGAAATATTTTAAATATATTCGATTTTAAACATAAATTTATATATATATATATATATATATATGGCGTTGATTGTCCATAATTTACCTCTGGTATTTAACAGGTATTCGACTGCCGGTATGTCACGACTACAAGTGGAATGTTTGAAGCTTTGTGCAACCATATCAAATATAGCACTAATAAAGGAAATATCAGGAACAATGAAGTATATATATATATATATATATATATATATAACGAGTATATATATAATATTCAGTTATCTTGTAATAATTTTATTATTTAACATTGTATGATCTCTGATGTGCAGAATTTAATTTTCTGATTATTCTGACTACTGAAGCACATTGCCAAATTATGCAGAGTGGTAAACAGTTATATTGTAATATGGTTCATTTAACAATTCCTGGTAGTAATCATGCCACTAATATAGGGAGGTGGTGGGTAATTTTGTGAACCCTTCGACAATACCCTGTTTTCAGATCACGATAGCATATGTTGCTTGTTTGCACGATGTTGCAAAGTTTATCGAGATATGCTCAATATATAATATCAGTTATCTTGTAATAATTTTATTATTTAACATTGTATGATCTCTGATGTGCAGAATTTAATTTCTGATTATTCTGACTACTGAAGCAAATTGCCAAATTTATGCAGAGTGGTAAACAGTATATTGTATATATGGTTCAATTAACAATTCCTGGTAGTATTCATGCCACTAATATAGTGGAGGTAATTTTGTGAACCCTTCGACATTCCCTGTTTTCAGATCACGATAGCATATGTTGCTTGTTTGCACGATGTTGCAAAGTTTATCGAGAGATATGCTCATTAATGCGCGTCGTATGTGGGGCGTAGAAGTGATTTTCAATTAAGACTAAGATAGTTTACTCATTTAGTTATAAACTATATGAGAAGTGATAGATTTTGTAATTCTATGTGAGTGGAAAATCGCTTTAGGTGATTTTAAATGAATCATTTAAACGTAGGTACTTGCAAAAAATTTACATGGTAGCTTTTGATTGATTATTTTAATATAATCTATCTTTATCAAAAGTTAAGAAAATTTATATCGACTTATTTTATATTGTCACAATATTTTCTTTAAATTTTATTTTATGAACTTATAAACTTCATAGAGCCTTTTCTTCGAGCTAATTATATTTATATGTCTTCTAACCAGCTCAAGTTATCCTTTCGCACCAATTTTGGAATTGGAATGTATAAGTCAAAACTTGATCTTTTGTTAAAGTTTTTTCAGAAACGGCTTACTAATTTCTAACCTTGATAAAGACGCACCTTGATTAGATTTGCGAGACGATCGGTCGAGCAGTTTTTACATAATTAGCAGATAAGTGCAAAGTAAATCATAAGTTTTAAATAAATGATCGTGATAAATGCAGTTTTATGATTGATCTTGACCAAAGAGTAAATTAATATATATATATATATATAATATATATATATGTATTATATATATATAATATATATAGATGTATATATATATATTATATATATATGTATATATATATATATATATATATATATATATATATCTTTTAAACATAAACTAGTGGGGTGTATGACATTGTGCCTTAAGGCAATTGCTGGAACTTCTCGTACCGTAAAGAAATGTTCGAGGAATATTAAATGTTTTCAAATAGACTATTATAATAAATACTGTAACATTGTCTAATATTTATAAGAATAATATAAACTGAATTGCAAAGTTGAAATTATTTGTTTAAAGTATAATATATTAGAACTTTAGTCAGAATCAAACTTAAAATCTGAATTATTTTCGATATACAAAAAAAATACAAAAATCAATTATTTTGTTAAAACAAGCAGAAAGTTCTTTGAATCATTTAAATCGGACGCTTAGTTTGCTCAAAAACTTGACATTTAACTCTGTATCTTCGAAATGGCTGGGCCTGCCTTTGCTAAAAACTCATCATCCCTTCTCCCAATCATTACAAAATGAATGTTTTTAGATCATTCAAATCGGATGCTCCGTTCTCTCAAAACTCGATTTATATTTTCTACGCTCTTTGCTCTTCATCATTGTAACTGCTGTCTTGGCCTTGCCAACAACAACTAATCAGCACATTTTCCTGTCAATAGGAATCGAATGTTTTTTTGAACCATTCAAATCGGTAGATCCGTGCGTCCGAAAACATGACTGAAAACTTGTATCCATATATACATACACACACACATCCATTTGTTCTGAGGTATGCAAAATGTTCAGAAATCTTAAAAACGTCGAGAAATGCAAAAATTTTCAAATTCGATTTTTGGACGATTACAATAACTTACCCTACGAGAAGATAAAAACCGTTTATTAGAAAGCCTCCATTCTCATTTTTGTTTTCCATTAAATTTTCATTCAACAAAGTCTTATTTTATTCCATTTTTTTTGTTTCAACTACGATCATGAAGAGTTTTCAATAATAAAATGTAACATGCTCTTCTTGAACTTGTTTAATTTATACTTATTAATTTTACTTTTGAAAACGGTTTTATAATTATATTAACAGTAAATTTAATGTAACGTTTTTAATTTCATCCAAATTATAGTACAATAATTAATAATTGTTGATATAAAATATTTTAAACTAGTAATTAAAGTTATGTTATACGGGCTATTAACAGAATTAATTTTACAATTTGGTACACTTGAAATATATCGTAAACGAAATAATTTATATAATTTATATTTATAGGATATAATTAATTTTATGTTATGTAATGTAGTCAATGCTTAAATGTGAATTGTTTTTAACGAGGTAAGATACATTTTAATATTGTAAAAAACATTTTAATATTATAACAATAGTTTTGCGAAACTATTGTTTTTGATAGATATTTCCTCGCCTTACTCAGCAAAAAGTTTTACATTTATTCACTTATTCCAGCCTTACTGCAACTGTATTTAAAAAAAGTGGAACTTTTAGCATACTTTAACTAAGCATGCCAGTTGGAATATTGCATGCATGTGAACAGATTCTAAAATCTTTATGGGTACATTATTCAAAGCAATATGGCTTATTTAAATACTTGCACGTGCAGCGCAAAAGTAAAACTACGGTTTGTGAAAAATTTTGTTGATGATATTCATTGCAAGTTGGAATTTGCAATCTATGACTAAGTATATAAAAATATTTTAGTTTTCAAAAAAAGTTCATTTTAATTTTTTTTTACTAGTTCCCTACAATTAAATACTTCTAGAAACTAAAATAGCAAAACGTTTCATAAGGCCACTGGGCATATCTACTAATTTGTAAACAATCAATTGTAAACAACTTGTCAGCATTCTCTGCTAAATATAATTATTTTTATAGATTGCAGAATGAAAATAAAATTTAAAAAAATTTAAAAGAGCAGGAGTGTAATTAAAATTTGACTCTTTTATTCATTGATTTTACTTTTTGAATACTTTACAGAAATTGCACTTTCCAATTCGAATTTGTTTGTTATTTTTAGAGGGTTTCGGATATTTAGATATTTCGATAGATGACATCATTTGAATACATTGAAAACTAATCATTTGCTTGAGAAATTTGATCCAATTATACATCGTTCTTGAGACATTTTTCATTTTGTTTGAAAAAGAAATCTTTTATGTTACTCAACAAATCTCTAATTGTAAGAAATTTTCTCGAAATAATTGCTTTAAATAAATATAAATTTCAGAATTCATTTTCTATTTTAAACTCTTATTTACTTGTATGGATTTTTTTATTTATTGGTAATTTTTTATTAAAGATCTGATTTGTTTTGAGTTTTGAGATTTGATTTGAGTTTGTTTTGCTTATTTTAATAGGGAAACTTAAAGAGAGCATTTGAAGAGTCAAAAGTAAGATTTATGTTGGGTTACTTTAAATCTGCTATTTTTTAACTACTTTTGAGCCGGGCGTTTGAGACACTCGCTGTTTTCTTATATGATTTGATTTATGATTAATCAATCCATCGTATTTATGAACAATATTTCAGTATTTCCACCTAAAAAAAATACTCCACTACTATCTTTTTTAATCTAAATCACATTTTAACACTTATCTTCATACTCCCCAAAGTGAACCTGCTCAATACTCATTGGACAAAGTTTCTGGCATCGTTTGAGTCGATGAATTTCACGAAAATGTGGCAGATTTTTACAAACATATAAATTTTATAAAATTGTTAATTAAATTTTATAACATATTTTAGATAATTTGCGATTTATATTATTTTAAGTGAAATTAATTGTAGTTAATTGCATTTATCCTACATGAAATTATTTATATGCAAGATACATACATAGAAGCATTACAAATATAAGTACCTACTTTGTTTGTACGTAATCAAGAAAAAAGGAGTAAGTATATTAAATTATCCAAGAAAAATCTCCAACAGCAACATATAGCCAAGTCCAGCATGTAATTGCTTCAATAAAACCGAGAACGCCTGTTAAGAGTGCTCCGACAGAATTCCCTCGGCAAACATTAAACAGCTTCCGAACGACTCGGATTCTGTTGTAAAAACATTATATGCAGCTTGATATCTAACAAAAGAATCACCAATGGGATTTGTAATGCACCTGGCCTTTATGCTATTATGAATTTTTCCATACGTACATACTACAATTTCAAATGCAGTAGAATTCAGAATAATCTTTTCTGTTGCTACCTTTAGAAATATTCCAGAGACTATTTCAATCAATCTTTAAAATCACGTTCTCGAAGATATTATCGAACTTTTACGACCGAATCGTTCATATCAGACTCTTGGGAGCAACTGAAACTATAATAAAATCGTGTAAACATTGTTTTCTCTATTATTTTCTGAGCGCTATAATACGTGAAGATGGTATATAAAGGATTATTGGAGTTTTTTATAACACAGGTTTGCAGTTTCAATCATTCTTATTTTGTTTTTTATATCGTAAAGTTTTTTTATAATGGACAATAGCCATATATTCCCATAATGATATAAAACTTTATGGAGAAACAATTGTTTTTAATATTATTTAGATAGCATAAAACGTTTTAATTTTTTTAATTAAAATTTCTAATATTAGAACAACTGCGGCATGATTGTTGTAAAACTGAAATTCTTAATTACTCTTCGTTTAAAATATTGTAAGAAAGCCTGGGTACGGTTGTGCCACCTGTTGACCAGTAACTGGATGAAAAATCAATTAAATGGTAATTCGAACAGTGTCTACATGGAGATACTAAATACTGTCTTTAAATACGATATATTAGTCATAAAATCGAATCATATAAAATGGGCTTGTGGCACAATCGTCCACATCCGAGGGACGGTTGTGACAGCGGTTGGCGTCAGTAGTGACAGGCATAAAAATAGGTTAAAAATAATATATATAAATAATTTATAACGTTTTTTATTGTTAACAAAACATAAAACCATTTTACAAAGCATAAAAACATTTAAACAAAGCTTATGAATAAAATATAACATAATATTTTTTTAATGAAACAAACAATTCTTCAATTTTTCGTAAATTTTTTTTCTATAATTTTCAATTTTTCTTTTTTTCCCGTTTGTATTTTGTCTCAGTTAAGTTAGAATTTTTTTTTGTCTGTTTTAATCTTTTTTATCTGTTTAATCTTTACCCGAAATGTACAAGAAATACATGTCACAACCGTACCCAATGCACTCTTTTGAAAACAATCATTATTATGACTGACTAGCTAAATTATTTAGGCAAAAACTAATGCCGGTAAATAATTACCAATGCTCATCTTAAAGCAAAATAACAAAAAAATAATATAACTGTACACAATTTAATTGTTTTAATCATTCTTTATCTTTCTCCCTTTGGATTCTAATTCAAAACTAGTATAATTTAGCTGTTATGACGACAGTTACTACCGTACCCTGGCTCAACCGTACCCAGTCTCATCTACTGCATGTAATCATACAATAACGGTAATGATATACTCTTACTAAATATATTACTATACTGTTTTAATTGATCAACAATAATATAATAACCAAGAGTCGCCTAGAATTTGCTAGATCACAATTATTTGAATTTTATTTTTTCGGAAATTATTTGTCAATACATAATACATTTTTTCCATCAATTCACGTTTTACAATTAATATATATATATATATATATATGTGTGTGTGTGTGTGTTTGTATTTATGAGCCAAAATTTGTTCATATGAGCCAAAATTTGACGTTTTTTTGATGATTTTTTAAAAATAGCAGCGCCAATTTCAAATCTATTTGATGAAATTCGATAAGGACTCACGTTGTTCAGTGTTGCGAGCCGATCGGCCAAGCCGTTTTCTTTTAATTAGCAAATAAATGAGTTTATGTTTTAACAAAATATACTGATCTGATATAAAAACGCTATCATACCGCAGCTTTTATATAAACTAAATAATATTATGATAAATATGTTAGTATGAACGATAACAAAGAAGATAATTGAGTTTCATATTGCTATCAGCATTTTCTCTTTACAAAGCGATTATATTTCCAACTTGATTACGAGTAATAATATTTTAAAATTACTTGATTATATATTTGCACTAACTACAAAACTTGGCAAAATCATTTTTTATTAATAATTACATCTTAATACAAATCTGTAATCAATCAAATCTAACACATACAATATTAGTATATGATTAAATACTGAAATATTGTTCTCAAATACGATACATTAGTCATAAAATCAAATTTTAAAAGAAAAGGGCGGGTGTCACAACCGTTCACATCCGAGGGATGGTTGTGAAAAATATAAAAAGATTTAAAAAAACAATAGCTAATAAACACCAAAAATTTATACATAAATATATACCGATTTATACATAAATTTATACCGATTATTATACTTTTTGCCTATAAATAAATAAAAATTTACTAATTTTTATATACCACGTATCAATTTTTTTGCTTCCTGTAGCGTAAGTTATAGTAATGGGCCAAAAATCGAAAATGAATTTTTTTGCATATCTTCACATTTTGGCATACCTTAGAAAAAATGAATGTATGTGTGTGTGTATGTTTTATGTGCGGATACAATTTTTCGCCGACGATTTTGAGAATAGGGATCAACAAATTTGGATGATTCAAAAAACATTCGATCACTATTAATAAGGAGCAAAAAGTGCCAAAAATGGTAATTCAATTTTTGAGAGAACCGAGCGTCCGCTTTGAATGATTTAAAAACATATTTATTTGTATTGATGAAATGAAGAACTGGTAACACTTTTGGTAAGGCAGGTTTAGCGGTTTCGGTAATCCAATAAAAACAGTTGACAACAACGACATTTGGCGGACAAATATGATCATTAGGCATATTCATCTTTTTTTTTCAGATAATTGTTTTAATAATAAGAACAAATTTTGCTTACTTTTCTAGGCGTTTCGTATCAATGTTTATCCGTTACACTGCGGCGCGGCGCTCAAGCGCTTCCATATTTCTGCAAGAAACGTATCGCAATTGCTTTGAAAAAAAATTCCAAATTATTTTTTCAAAGTTCTAAAAAAAATTGAATCTTTTTTAAAAATATAAATTTTTTATACGGAAAGTTTCAGCAATTAAGGCCGATGCCATAAACCACTAGTTAGATTTATATTGAAAGAAAAATGTGCAAATTATCATAATTGGCTTATGTGATTAGCTTGTTATCCTTCAATATCATAATGTTTTCTTGACATAATTTGATGAGCCCTATCTTGATTCCAGATCAGCGATTACAATATTTCCGCAGCGCAACGGGGCGCAGCGAGACTTCCGCATATGGAACGCGCAACTAATCAGCTATGCAGCTTATCGAGGCCCTGGGGACACCATCTTAGGTATAGACTTAATAATGTTGTAATTATCAAAATAAATTAATTTGTGGAATATAATTACGTCTTAAATTCATTCTTCAGGCGATCCTATGAATTTGGAGTTTACGGAGCTGTGCACCAGATTGGGATGGCGAGGACATGGTACTCGGTGGGATATTTTGCCCTTAGTTCTGAGTGCTGGTGGACATGATCCTGATTATTTTGATATACCTGAGGAATTGATATTACAAGTTCCGTTAACGCATCCCAGGTGAGACTACTACTTTTATTTTATTTTGTTGGATTAATAATTGGAATTAAATGATGATTTAGAAATAGCATTCAACAATTATGTGCTTTACTTATTACGTACAAGAGTTGATTTTAATTGAGCTTTATTTACACGAAGGGTAAAACATGCTAATAATTTATTAGCTTATATATTAAATTTTAACTTTTAGTTATTGACGCATACCTAGTAGTCTTATAAATTTAATAAAAAAAATTCTTTTGGCATTTTCAAACTTTAACAAAAGCTATTTTTATTAACTCCTAATAATTACACTGGTCCACAAAATAAAAAATGTGTCTGTATTGGAAGTTTGGAATATATTTTTTAATGTAGTTTTTACCGCTGAACACGAATCTAAAATCAAAATTGGGGGTCAAATGTCAAAAAATTGAAAAAAGATTAAAAACGACAAAAAATCCGATCTAGTAATTCTTTTGCATGATATTTAAAATCATATAATTTTTGACGTTTCCTGGCCCTTTCTATGTTAAATGACTATTGAGTATTCATTTAAATGATTTATTAGTTTTTTTATAGATTTTACCAGTATGTTGTATGTACACATTTTCAAATATTCAAATTGCATACATGGTTGCAGATTACCAGGGGTAATGGGGAGAAAATGTGTTTGCAACTTGCTGGTGAATTACACAAAATACTTAATAGATCATTTAATTGAAGCTCAATAGTCATAGATAAAAGATGCAGAAAACGACAGAAATAATAAGATTTTGATTATTATGCAAAAGAATTGCTAGATCAGAGATTTTGACGTTTTTTTTTATTGTCTTAATTTTTGCCACTTGATCCTCAATTTTGGCTTTAGATTCATATTCAGCGGTTAAAATTACATTGGAAAACATATGCCGCACAACATTTTTTTTTTGTTTTGTGGAACAGACAACTTTTTTTGTTTTGTGGAACTGTGCTAATAATCGTAATGTTTTGATTAGCATTTTATGTAATAAATGCTGTTTTTTATATTAAATTATTTCAATCGATTTTAAGTTACCAACAAGATGTTTCACTTCATTCATAATTTGTTTAAACTAACAATTAAAATTCTTATTATTCTAGTAAATCACGAATATCTTACAGACCTTATTAAATGTAATGTATTTATTAGAATGTATTTATTAGAATTATCTTTGTTTTGGAGCAGAAAAAATGTGGCACATAAAATTAGATAAACATATGGGTAGATACAGTTTCAGTTTGAAATAGTTCTTAAAAGCATTTAACAAAAAGCATTCTATATATTACATTATATTATCAGTGTTTTAGGTTTACTAGTTTTTGTTTAATCTGCGATTCTAAGTTTTACGAAAACCTCTGAATTATTAATTATATTGCATATAGTTTTATTCGTTATTCCAAAATCATTCCTTGTTGTAGAAAATTGTAAAGAAACTTTTCACTTTGTTAATAGTTGCAAGGCTATTTTTACAATCTGGTATGAAAATAAATTACGCTTTCTGAAATAAGCTGAAATGATACATTATGTTGTTCTCAGTTTTATGTAGTCCAATTTTTATCTTCATTACTGCTATATGCATTTTTCCGTGCCAAGAATTTAAATTAAATTAAAAGTCAGACGAAGTAGACTTTTCAGAAGTAGTTTTGTGCTTATTCAGAAAATTACTTCCAAGAGAAGTTTGTTAATATGTCCCCAGGCGTCCAGTTTCCACAAACACTACGGTAACAAATGCTGAAGGAAAAAGAAATATTTACAGAACCAACTGTGGTGCATTTTTATGGCGGCTCTATTAAAGTAAAATGTTTACTTTTATCTTTTATTTTATGGACATCATGCAAGTATGTACTGATGTTAGTTCAAGTAAGAGGTATCATTTTAAAATCGTAAGTGCTACTTTTGCATTTTACAGCCTTAAATTTACTGTTACAATATAGTTAAGTATCAAGTTATTATTAGTAACTTGTAAATTTTCACACACACACACACATATATATATATATATATATATATATATATGAGTTATTTTGATTCGGGCAGTAACACCAAGTAAAAAAACTGAAGTAGTTTTGAAATACTTTATTTAGCCAGTCTCTCCTACAAAATTGAATAAATAGCCATAACTTGTAACTATGTAAGATCTTAGAGCAACTCGGTGTACTGGTAAATCGCTTACATCAATATATTAACTTCCCGAAGGAGAAGTTTATGTTTTCATCAAAAAATCCGATTCGCTAATGTTATGTTTTCTCGACGTTTCAAGCCATTCTTAATCGAATGAGACCAAATTTGGAAAAAGTATGTGTGTGTTTGTGTATGTGTGTGTGTGTGTGTGAATAGATTTGTTGCCGTAAATCGACGTTTTCTCCAAAACGGCTGGACCGATTTAAGAAATTTAAAAGCCATTTGATGTATTTCGCTGAGGACTATCGTTTGTCAGTTTTGTGCGACGATCTGCCAAGCCATTTCTTTATAATTTGAAAAAAAGTGTTAAACTTTTCGTCCACATTTAAGCTCATCCTACCGAACCGATTTTAAAAACTCAAAAACTGTTCGAAAGATATTAGTTGGGAATGATACTGATTAGTTTTAGGTAAAAATCTACCGAGCCGTTTCCTTGTAATTAACTGTTGAAAAAAAATTTAATCCGATTTTTATGAAACTTTCTTTGGCGATGTATATCATGGTCTTATAGAACTTACTGAAATATTACGGCCTTACGACAAATAGTTTGATTTTAAAAATTCATCTTTCAAGATTTGTTAAAATTAAAATTATACTATTTACTTGGTATAATGATAGAGTACTTGGTCTTGAACATAATAAACCATTAAAGTCCTGAAACTGGTTCAATTATATAAAATTTGCTTTTAGAAAATACTCCGAGTCAAAGTGTTCGTTCGTTTCAATTATGTGTAATAAATCCACTCGAAATACTTTTAATAACTCATAAATTAATTTATTTTTTATTAATTAAGTCGATTATTTAAACATATCGGGAAGTTCATGTAACTTGCCTCAAGGCTAAATACCAAACCAACTAGTTAATTTTTTTATTCATTAAGTCGATAAACATTTAATTATGCCATAATATTGCAATTATTAGAGTGGATGTAAATTCTATGTTTACTTTGTTAACAAATTATCTTGGCGCCCTTATCGTATTATTTGTAACCACATAAACCAAGCCCGCATATTAGCAATAAATCTCACATTGTGTTCTAGATATTTTCGTATCTTGTTTCGATTTGTAACCTCATAAGCAATGGTGTTCTTTTAGTTTATAAACTTCTTTGTAGTGCGAATTGAAGTTAAGACTAACAAAAACATTTTTTATTTGAATAAAATTTCCATTTTCTTATTTAAAATTTACCGTACAATTCTTTATGCATTTTTATATTGATATAATGAAATGTACTTAATAATGTGTTTATTATAATAGTCATTTTAATTACCTAAAATTTAATACCTATATCAACCATTAGGTTGTCATCTAAAAACTGCATGTTTGACTTCAAGTTCTGTTTTTTTTAAATATGAGAATAAAAATTATATTGTTACTTACAAATAAATTGTATATTTGCTATCATGAATTGCTGCAATCATAGCATTGCTAAGTAAAAAGTGCGATAGAGAAGGAAGCTTTCTCGCAAAATTAGTAATAACTCATATTATAAAATTACATAAATAGTATCTAAAATCTACCATATTTTACTACTATTCTCTAAATATATTTTTTACTTCAGAATAAAATTTTATATTTATTCAGATGTCTTGTATTCAGTTAAGCTAAAATTTTAATATAACACAAATCTTCAGATATAGTATAAAATAGTTAAAAAAACATTTAACAAATATGAGTCTATTAAACTGCTTTTTTTATTTTTCCTTATTATAATGATAATTTCTCAATCAAAAAACTTCGACTGCAATATTTGCTCTGTTGTTTAAATTTTAATTATTTTGAAAGTATTTGTGAAGTCTAGACTGCTCATCAAGTAATCTTCATTACATCAATAGCATACTGAATATCTCAAATGCCTTCTACGATGTCTATATGTAAATTATAAATCATTTTAGTTTAGTTGCGATAGTTTAGATAGTTCAGAAGTTTACCTTCATGATTTAATTTCTCTCAGAATTTGTAATGTAATTTTATGCTTTGTAATTCTACTGTTAAAATAATATAATAATGTAAAGAAAGTGATATAAAACTTATCAAATATATAGCATATACACATTTTTGTCACAGTGTTTATATTTCATAATGGCATATGTAGTTTCTGTTTTACTTGCAAAATTCTTCTTTCTATATACGTTTATAAAAAGATCGCCATTTAATCAAATACATACATATATTATATTAGAAAAATTTTAATTGAGAAATTGTAGTAATTTTAATTTTCTGTAAAGATATATAGATTATAAAGATATAAATGAATTGTACTGTCATACGATACAATCAAAAGTAGTGGAAGTTATCTTAAATCTTCCGAATTCTAATTTGGAGGCTAAGTCAAACCTGTAAGTCAACTTTTTTGAATCAAATATTTTCAACATTTCAAGTTGCTGTTTTTAATTTTTATGCTCGATCTGTATTTCAAATGGATACATAAATACGTTTATATAAATACATATAGTTTTATGGTTTATATACGCGTTTAAATAGCAATAACTAATCTCGATCATTTCGCGTTTGATGTCCTTAATAGGTCGGTTTTGATAGCATATATTAATCCACATAACCACAGATGTTATATGAAATAATAGCGATATCAGAAATTATTGCTTTAGGTTCGTTTGAATGCATTTATGGCAGTTCAATATATTGTCTGAATATACAATCGAACAGTTTGGCATCATTTTATTTTCGAATATTGTGAATCAAAATAATTTTATAAAGAATACAAAACCTATTTGAATCCATTCATGCAACATACTATTTACTTTAGCTCAGTTAACTTTAATGGAACGCTAAAATATTTTTACTACATAAAAATATGTACATATACAAAATCATATGCATAATGTTGATAATGCTAAATATTTCTGTTTTCGGATATATTTTATTATAACCTTATTAAATGATACAAAAGTTTTCCCAACATCTTTTATTATACGTTCTAAGCAAATGAAATATATTCTCTTTTTTGAGTTATTACTCAAAGATATTAGCAGAATATTTACTTTTTTATCAATAACTATGAAGGTTATTATAATATACAAAGTTTTAAATTTTTTATATGAAATTTATCATATAAAAAGTTTAATATAATTTTTAAATTTATATATGTTAAGGGAAGTTAAGGCATAAAGGTCCAATTTGCATTTCAATAATTATTCTGTCTTAACTAAATGAATTGCATGACATCACATAATATTTATCAAACAAACAACTATCAAACTATGTGAATAAAAATTTCCAGTCAACTCCTAATTATAGAAATATGTTCTTTATTATTTTTCTTTTTGCTAACGTATTCAACAGATCCAACTTTTTTTTAATTTTAAAGGAATTTTACAAAATAATAATTACATTAAACACACTGAACCAATGTGTAATACAAAGTTTATGTGAATTTTTTTTTTAAAGTTTTTATTGAATATAACCTTGATATCGAAGAAAATATTTATCAGCAAAATCACTACTAATTTAGTTTATCTCATAAAATTGCTTTTTTACTTAATTTACTTTTTGAATTACTATTTAAAATTTCTTTATTTCAATTGTTTTTCTTCTATAAAAGCTTACAAGTGAATGAGGTAAAAAAGTCTCCATTCACGTGTAATCTTTTATAGACGTTATATAAAAAACTGTTAAATCTAACTTAAAAATAGCAATATAAACCAACATCACATTGTCTTAAAAAATGTATTTAATTTTGATTGACAATAAAAGTATGCAAAAAAAAAAAAAAAAAAATAGCAATATATTTTACAAAACATTTAAATATCGTTTTTTCTAAAGTTATATTCGGATATCATCAATCTCATAACCAAAAAAATTACCTACGATTGAAAGTACTTTTGTTATAGATTTTCAAGCATAGTCGTTTATCTCCGGATAGCGACGTCGTAAGAACCAAGATGTTAGTTAAGGGGCACAACAAGTGTAACCGCCTGAAAAAAAGTGATTTTTGCGAATTTATATTAAAAAAACTACTTTATCAATCATTTCAAAATTTTAGGAATATATTTATACATGTTTTAAGAATACATTTTTTAAAGAAAAAAATTAAATATTTTTTAAGTTATCGTCGATCACCAACGGCGCGAGAAAAAAAGGCCCCTCACTGCTGCAGTTCCGGCCTTCTACGTGGATGGAATTTAAAAAAAATCTCAATAAACTAGATAATATTGTCTGTAAAAAGAACTACGATAAAGAAAAAAAATCAAAAATTGACAAAATGACGGCGTTTTTTTAAAAAAAGTCGAATTTTACCCAAAATTTTGGTCATTTTCGGACTGCCAAAATTCGATTTTTGATTCGATCAAAAAATCGGTAGTTCATTTTACGGAGAACTATATATAAGAACATGCAAAAAAAATTGATAGTGATCATTTGTTTTTGAGTAATCGCTGCAGCAAATTCGGAAAATGCTGTTTCGAGAAAAACGCGTTTAAAGATTAAATGATCGTTATACTATATACTATATATATATACTCTTTAAATGGCTATAACTCAAAAACTGTTTAAGATATCGATTTAAAATTTTGGTATGTTGTTTTTAAAGGTATAACCTCGAATTATGGAAATTTCCACATTTCCATCGAAATATGGAAAAATTGGAAATTCGATTTTTTGAAAATTTCACACTAGTTGTGCCCTTTAAATATCCTTTTCCCTAGAAAAATTCCTAACTTTACTTGTTTTTGAGATATCGGTAGAGAACCTTTTTACCCGCAGATCTTTAAGCCCCGCTCCTCTCTTATTATTGAAATGTATGTATCTATAGTATTCTGTTATATTCATCCATCATTTATAAAATTTTGTCGTTTTCCAGTTACCCCTGGTTTCCAGAATTGGATCTGCGCTGGTACGCCCTGCCCGCCGTCTCCAATATGTTGTTCGAATGCGGCGGTTTGCAGTTCACGGCGACCGCTTTCAACGGTTGGTACATGAGCACGGAGATTGCGTGCCGGAACATGTGCGACCAGGGAAGATTTAACATGCTAGAGGTGAGTGAGGCTATGCAGGAAAAACATACATTTTAGACACCAGTCCTACAATTTATTATCTCTCTTATATTTTCATGAATTTTAAGGCTTGTGGTTTTACAAAAATCTAGATAAATTGGCCATTGATAAATGTGTTTATATATGTGTCGTATTAAACTATCATAAGGCATCGTGCCTTAAGACAAATTGCTAGAACTTCCGGTACTTCAATGATTATTTGAGGAATATCAAATGTTTTTAAATAGATTATTATAAATAATGTAACTCTTATTATTCTTAATTTATGAAAAGTAAATAAACAAAATTTAATCAATCGAATTTAAAATAAAGAACATTGTCTAATATTTCTAACAATAAATATTATATAAACTGAATTGCAGTTAAAATTATTTATTTGAAGTATATAAGTGATGTATATTTAAGTGCAATTATAATTAAAATCCGAAATATTTTTCTATATTCAAAAAAAAAATATTAAAAAATTCTTTCCCCAAAAGCAATCGTGAACACAAGCAGAAAGTTTTTAAATCATTCAAATCGGATGCTTAGTTCTCTCAAAAACTTTCATTTTTTGCACATTTAGATCCGTATCTCCGAAATGGCTGAAATTGCCTTCGCCAAAATTTAATCACCACTTTTACCCATCACTAGGAATCGAATGTTTTTTGGATAATTCAAATTGATTGACCCGTTCTCTTAAAAACTGATATTTTTTACTCCATTTTTCCGAAGCCGCTGAATCTGCTTTGCCAAAAACTAATAAGCACATCTCCTATCAATAGCAATCGATTCGTTTTTGAATTGTTCAGATCGGTTCATTGATACGCGCAAAATCGTCGACGAAAAATTGTCTCCACACATACACCCACACATTCAGTTTTCTGAGGTATACAAAATGTTCAGAAACCTCTGAAACGTTAAGATATGCAAAAATTTCATTTTCGATTTTTCCTACGTGAAGTTAATAAACTAAATTCTCATTTTTTTAATAATAATGCAATAAAAAAATAATAAGAAAGGTCTAATAATATTATTCAATAAAGAAGGTCTAATAATATATGTTCTAATTTCATGAGAGTGATACGAGTCTTGACAATGAGTCTTTATTTTGAGTCACTTCAAAGTATGTTTAACAACATCAATTCTGAAGAAATTTATATTTATTCACATCAATTCTGAAGAAATTTATCAAATTTTCTAAAAAGCGTGAAATGAAGCAATTAATTTATTCTACTAAGTTACTTTGCTATATCCTAAATTAGCTATATAAATAAAACATAACAATTATGTAGTGAAAATTTCTATATAGACGAGATAGTTGAATAAGTACTATAGTTGAAGTTAGAACTTCAGAGAAATAATAAAATCTACTGTCTTCACTTTAAGTGAATTAATAATAACACTGTGGACTTTATTATTACTTAGATGACCTATTTGCATGGATAATGAATTAGACAGTTAAATACCAAGTCCTTCGATTTTGTTCGAGTAAAATTAGTGAAAATTATAAACAAATTACTGAATGATTATTGTTTTTAATATATTTTATGAGCGAGGCACAAAGGTTCAATTTGACTTTCAGTAATTTTACTTTCCATAAACCAAATGAATAACATATCATAACACATAACACGTATAAAACATCTATCGAACTATGTTTAGTAAAATTTTTTGTTACTTCCCAATTATAGAAATATATTTTTTACTATTTTTATAGAACTAATATCTGTACCTTCCTACTCTGTAGACAAGGTGAAAATTCTTTTACTTAGTTTTAAAGGAAGGATTTTTCGAAATAAAAGCTACATTATTATTATATATATTATTATTATTATATACATTATTATTAATATATATATTTAATTAATGCGAAATACAAATTTTATGAGCACATTCATTACAAAGATAACATCGTATATAACCTTGATCTGGTTTTTTGTTTTACTCAATTTACTATTTTCTTATAGTTTCTGCCTTTACCAGGAAAATTTACGAATGTTTTTTTTTCCCCGACCCAACAGTATGCTCTTATAGAGAGGTTATCTAAAACAACTACAATCTAACTCGAAAGCAATAATACATCTCAGAAAAAATACAATAATAACTTGAAAATTATATTTAATGTATCATAACAAAAGTACAATAAAAGAGATCATAATCAAAAAAACTACTAACGATTTTTTTGTTTAAATACTAATACATCGCCACTTATCTCCTGATAGCAAAATCGTAAGAATTGAGATGATGGCTTCTAGTTAAATATTTTGCTTTCTACTTGAAAATAAAATTATTAAAAAAAATTATACTTCTCTTGTTTTCGAGGTAATGGTGCAGAACCTTTTTACTCACGGACTATAATAAATATAACACTTTTCGTGAAAACTTTATTAACTAATAATATTTTATCATAAAAGTTTTAAAATATTGCAAGGTATTTCGCAAATATTTATCACACATAATTTTACATTTCACTTTATGCTTTCACAGTTTAAAATTCACTTTGATACTTAAAACTTAAGAAAAAACGTAAGAAATTTGAAGATTTTTTGTGGAACAATTTTAGGCAATAGCAATGAATCTTTTTCATGAATAATTACAATTTGATAAATCCAGCATCTATTTTGTTGTAAAATGGAACTAGTACTAAATTCGTGTTTTGTTTGGAAGATAGAATGTTTGCGAGCTGAATCAGCAGACAAGCAATATAAAACAATAGATTCCGACCATCCAATGCTGTTTACATAATTGTATTAGAAATACATGTATTTGTGTCTATGACATTTTCTGGAAGTCTTTGAAGCACATAATTAATTACAAACTACACATAGGGGTATACAACGATACACAATGTGTCAAAAATAGTACGAAATGCATATTGTATGTAATTCTCTTACGTGATGAATGTGACGTAAAAATGTTAAAATAGATTTTCCTGAACCAATTGGGACTTTGGTAGACATCGTTTGTTTTTGGCTATTACTATCTAAATAAAATAATCCAAATTTTAAATTTAAAACCTGTAAAAACTAAGTATTAATGAATGTTATAGGTCCATTTAATATTAATTAAAATATTTTGTAATCAAAAGTCTAACAACAAGGTTTTTCCTCTAAATGTTGCGTCAAAGTTTAAATCGATTTTTTTATAAAATCGTTTTTAAAAATCCACACACATATTTTTTTTAAGTTAAGTTTGCCAAAAGACAATATAATGGATTGCCATTCATTTTATTGAGCTATAAAACTCACAAGATTTTTTATTAATGTTTTATAAGAAATTTAATAATCAAATTATCTCTATATATAAATGTAATATTATCTTTATATTATCTCTATATATAAATGTAATATTATCTCTATATATAAATGTAATATTATAAATGTAATAGTTTTAAGTGGTATTTTATTTCGAGGCAAGTAGCATGAACTTCCCAATATCTGTATATAATAAATTCAATCAATATCCATTACAATTTGTGCATGATCTACCTGTCTATCTGTCTGTATTTCTAACTGTTTACAAGGCTACCTTTTCACCTACTTGTACACCATTCTACCAGCCTACACCTACTATTAACTAGTCTGTCTTTTCTGTTCACCTTTCTATTTTTCTACTTGTTTAACTAATTACATATTTAGCTTACTTCTGACAATCAAAAAATACCTGTAGAAAAATATACCCAAACATTTTTCTATTTGATTTTTTCTGTCTGCTGTTTTAACTGTCAACTATTTTTCAGTCTACTAGTCTATTTTTCTATCTGTTTACTTGATTGCTTGCCTACGTGTTTACCTGTTCACCTCTCTACCTGTCTACCTGTCTACCTGTCGGCTTATTCACCTGTCTACCACTCTTATGTCTACCTCTATTTTCATCTGCTTATTTACTTGTTTTATTGTATACTAATGCATATCTATCAGTCTATCTCACATTTATTTTATTTTGTCTTATATTAAGGCATTTAGTCTCATGAAAAGTTGCATGAACTTGCCAATATTTCTAAATAATCGACTTATTCAATAAAAAGTAAATATATTCCATAAAAGTTAAATTTCCAATGAAAATGTTAAAAAAATAACAAATAGTTACAAATAAGTTTTGGTTATATATTTTATAAAAATAAAAATAATGTTTGTACTAAATGTATGAATCATTATTTTTTTGATAATAATAAATATGATTTTTACTGAATTACATTTACGAATCTTGAACGATAAGCACGTATATCCATTAATGGATGCACACATTTTAATTATATATATCAAGTGCACCTTTAACTCGTTCTAGAGAATATTTTTCTTAGAACCGTTATGTTTGAAAATAACGAGATATAGAAGGTTTATGAATTCATGCATTTATTCTAGAAGCACATCTTATTATTCAAGATAAGCCTGGAGCAATCGTTCGGCTTCTACGTTCATCTATTGTTCTCAAAATTTTATTTCTTCACCAATTAAAATGAAAAGGTAAACTGAATCTCTTCAGATTTTTTCTAAGAAACTTCGTATCGTAGGAAAGAAAGCAAACTTTTATACAAAACCATAGAAATTGCCTACCAGATATCTTTTTTTCCTTGTACATATATAAGTAGAGCGGAGCTCTAGGTCCACTTTGAATTAGAGCAATTATATTGTGAAACACCAATTAGTTGTATGACAACAAATAGCACATATCAAACAAAACAACTATCTGACTATGTTTAGTAAAACTCCAAGCTAATTCATCCACCATTGTAGGAATGTGTTTTGATTGCTGTTTTTTTAAATTTGTCACCTGGTTTCTTTTACCTATAGGTGGGGAAAATCGGATGGGCAAAGGTTATAAAAAAAAGGTTGATTCTAACTTGAAATTAACAAAAAATATTATAAAACAATCAAACAATGTACACTTAAAAATATTAAGATCTTGTGAACCAAAAACTAACAATGAAAACAAACTTTTGTTATGGATTTTTAAACATTGCCATTATTATCTCCGTTAGCATCCTCGTAAGAATCAAG